GTTGAGCTGAGCTGAGCTGTGGTTCGATGATCCTCGATGGTTGGGGTTTCTAACTCTATTGCAGGCTCCGGAGGTCGAGTTGTTGCTAACCTTTGAATGTTTTTTTCACGCTGGCGGTCTGCCTTTATCTTGAGCTTTGCCGCTCTTTTGCTGAGTCTATAGGTTGACCTACCATTTGTACAGAGGCCTCTTAGCCATGTCCTTCCTTCTTCATACTCGGCTTTTATTCTTGTTGCTTCTTCATCAATTTCACGCAGTGCTTTCAACTACCCATTTCCCTTTTTGAAATGATTTACATTCATTCTATTTGCCAAAAGAGTTTAAAGCTATCTTGATTTTTCATAATCGAGAGAGTTTCTTCGATTGTTTTTATTGAAAAACTGATTTTGAACTCAAATATTATTTTTTTATATATATCATTTGTAGGGACCTTTAGGATATTCCAGTTTTACAATTATTTATCAATATTATCAATTATTATTTCTTCTCTATTATTCACTCGTAGAGTATTATTACTAGAACTACCAGAAGCTGTTCTATTTGATAGTGTTCTAAACAAATTTGCTATTTTATCTTGGTTTTCTTTTTATGAGTCAATTGGAAACAGTCCCTTCACTTTACAGCCTTCTTAGCTCGTGGTGGTCTTTAGGTCACAACGACTTTAGGTATGTTAACCATATAAATGTACAAATTGGTTCAGTTTTCTACTGAATAAACTCGGTTCTGATACCGTAAGTAGCGGAAGCAATCATATAATAAGAAAAAATAACATTCATATGTAACAATTAAATATAAGTATAAAACATAACAGAGATAGACACTTACATGAAGGCTCAAAGTAGAGGTGAGAGGTAGAAAACAAAATAAAAGCTCGAAGTAGAGGTGAAAGGCAGAAAAAAAACTTGAAGTATTCTTAATAAGTACTTAGGCTTACAACAGTCATTCAGAAATTATAATCACTCAAACTTATAACAATCACTCATAAATCGCTCAAGCTTACAATACTAGCTATAACATGCAGAAGGAAATCCCAACGTGTCTTACTTCTGAGGCCTGGTCCTTGTTTTATAGAAGAGGGAGGGCGGATTCCAAACACTCTTAAGTCCGCACCGACAAGATAAGATGCCTTTTCTTTCACGTCAAAGCAAAAGGGAGGTAAAAGCAATTATTCTCGTCATTTTTCAATAGTGTCGGCAATAATGGTTCTTTTACTGTACCAACAGTGTCGGCAATAATGCTTCTTGTATTGTAGCAATAGTGATTGACGTGTTAACAGTCTTCTTTATCGTTATTTTTGGGACACGTGTCCTAAATGGCGATGGAGTCGTATCGTCCCTGATATTTTATCTAATTTAGTTGGAAAAATATCCCTATACAACCATCTTCATTTGGAGGGTCTAAATCTTCGATTTCTGTATCATTTGAGGAAGTTGGGGTTTTAACTTCTACTTCTTCTTCAAGGGCAAAGAATAATTTTTTCCTGAGCTCTGCTTTTGACAGAGTGGGATTTTTCTGTTGCATTAGAGCAATGTAGTCGAAGAATCCCATATCTGATTTTGGTGAAGAGTTTGGAATTGCCTTTATACAGATTTTCTCGGGATCTAGAGAATCATTCTTATAGTTGTCCCACCATTTAATTGAAATTTGTCTTTGTAGTTCTGGAATATAATCCCACCGGTCTAAATCATCTTCAGAAACTTGGTAGGACCATTTTAGAATCCAGAGAACCTGATATAGGGCCATGAAATTTATGTGGTAGTCTCGTTTTAGACTAGTTTTATTATATTCAGGGAATTTTCTATGTGATATTTGGAATTTTTCTGGAAGTATTTGGCTTAATGATCCCCATAGCAGGAACCAACTTTTAAACCAGTTTGGAAATTCTGTTGGCTCAGTTCTTTTAAACTACACATACCAGCTATGTGTATTTTTTGTATTCTGATAGGCAAATACTTCATCCCATGCCTTAATATATTCAAAATAATGATATGATTTGATTTTAAATCCTATTGTAATTAGTGCCCTTGGTTTTAAGGGATTCACGCCCTAGTCATTCTAAGAGATGATCTTATGTATTTGGAATTTTGAATATGCTATTTTCGAATCATTGTTTCTATAGTGGTATACTATTGACACCAACCCGGTTTCCAGTAAAATAACTTCATGCCAATCTCTACATCTTTCTCCCATATTAGGATGTAGATGATGGCGCAGATATATGGCGGCTAATTCAACAGGGTCTTTTTCCCTGTGTTCATTTTCAATTATGATCAGCGGGATATAAGCTGTATCAAGAAATGGAGTTCTATCAGGGTTTGGACTATTATAGCTCAAAGGGGATTGTTGAGGATATATTTGAATCTCTTGAGCTTACTTTCTTATTAAAGCATTCGGATTTGATGAGGATGCCAGGGATTTTCCTAGGTTTGAACTATTTACAGCCAAGTGTTTTCCTGGGCTATTATATATAGTCAGGCCTTTTCCTGAGCTAGGGACTATATACAGCCAGGTGCTTTCCTGGGCTATTATATATAGTCAGGCCTTTTTATGAGTTAGGGACTATATCCATTGGCTGTATTCTCGACTGTAAAAGATAAAAAAGAATTACAAAGATTTTTACGATGTCTAAATTATATTTCAAATTTTTATAAAGATTTAGCTTCAGATGCTAAGCCTTTATTCTAGACACTAAAAAAGAGTCCTCCAGATTCGACGGATGAACATACCATGGTAGTCAGAAAATTAAAACAAAAGGCCAAAGAATTACCTTGTTTAGCTCTATCTAATTCTACAGCTTTTAAGATTATTGAAACCGATGCTTCCGAAATAGGATTAGGAGGTATCTTTAAATAGACAATCCTAGATGAGGAACAACTTATACGCTTTACCTCTAAAGCCTGGAATCCGGCACAACAAAAGTATTCTACTGTTAAAAAGGAGGTCATAGCAATAATACATTGTGTCACAAAATTTCAAAGTGACGTACTTAAAGAAACATGTGCAGGGACTGCTTCTTTTGTAGACACATTTTCGGATGTTCAACATCCAAAAATATAACTGCAAACCTTAAACTTTAGGCTATTTTCGGATGTTGAACATCCAAAAAACCCTTCAATTTGGATGTTGAACATCCGAAAGGGGGTAAAGTCATTTGTTTTAAAAAATTGCGTTATGAAAGGTAAAAAATGAATAGACAAATAATAACGGAAACTATTCAGTACATCCGTAATAACACAAAATATAACCGATATATGTGTAATTTTCCCTATTTTTTAAGGACATGAGTTGAATGAAACTTGGAAATTAACTAGTCTGGGTTTAAAAGGATGATTTGTCCACTTTAGTATGTTTTGTAAGTTGGTTGAACCATAAAAGCAATTTTTTTGGTATGATTTGTATAGAGCCTAGGCTCTAAGCAATCAAATTAGAGCCTATCTTCAAATAGTGTCGAGAAATGTGGTTTTAATATTGGAAATCTTTGTGATATTCTTAAAATATATTTTCATATTTATTTATAAAGTGTAAAGCTTCAAAAATAGTATAGATCGATAGATCTATGAAAACTTGAAAATATTGAAAATTGACGGTCCAAAAATGCATTACAAAATACCCTATTTCCAAAACTTGAAATCATTTTTTTTTCATGTGTATGCATTTTGATGTCGAGATGATCAATTTGAAGATATTTGGACATCAAAACAACCTCTTCTAATGAAATTTTTTAGATAGGCTCAAATTTGATTGTTTAGAGCCTCAGCTCTATATAAACTTTTCCCTTTATAAACCACTTTATCATAACATATTTAACTAAGAAAATAATACATTCAAGGTAATAACATTATTTGTAGGAGTTAAATTGCGATGGTGCGGTAATAAACAATTTCGATTTGATATTGGCTTAAGCGTTGTGGAAAAATAAATAAATAGAGAATTTCAAGTTTTAAAAATAATACATTTTGTAATAAATTATCTAGACTATCTACAAGATATTTAAGTCTTCATAATTCTGTCTAGATTCTCTACAAGATATTTAAGTCTTCATAATTCCCTGATCTGCACTATGTTTTAATTTTAAATTTAATAATTAAAGTTAAACATGGATTTTCAAGAGATTCACAAGATTTCGACGTTGAAACTAAATCTTCCAATCAAATTGAGAGGTATGCCTTCCTCGTTTAGTATAAAGTGGGCATCTTATACAAACATCACCTTTTAACTAAGCCTGTGGTTTGTATAAGAATGAGGCTCAAAACAATGAAAATAGGGCACACCTTCAAATAGTGTTGAAATGTGTTGTTTTGAGTACAACAAATCTTTAAGGGGTGAGGTTTGTATATGGTTGCATCCTTATACGTCAGAGGTCAGATGCACCTATAAAATTTACCTAGAGATGTCGTTTCGACGTCAAAAATCTTATGATGGCTTTAAAATCTCTTTTAAATTTAGCTAGAAAATTTAAAATTTAAAATTTAAAAAATGGTACAAATCAAGCAGACTAATAAACACTTGAAAATATTGAAAACAGACGGTCCATATGACTTTTTACTAGATGTACTATTTTTTGAACTTGAAATTCTTTTTCTTCTTCCTGTTCATTCATTTAAAGGTCTAGATCGGTTGGAGGGTTCTCCTATATGGGAACATTCTCCACTGTAGGATTTTTGAGATGCACTTTTTCTTCTATAAGGTTGTAACCTTATACAAATTTTTTCCATCTTTAAGAAGACCTGAAAATTTATTTTTATTTTTAATTATAAAATTTAAATTTAAAAATGATATAGATCGAATAGATCTATGATCACTTGAAAATATTGAAAATTGACGATCTAAATAATACATTACAAAAAGAGGCTATCTCCAAGTCTTGAAACCTAATTTTTTCTGATATTTACACCTTTTTTAATGAATTTTTAAGGTCCTCCCTTGATCATGGCCTCAACCTTATATAAAGAGTTAATTGATTCTTTTTTTTTACAAATTCATAAATTGGAAGAGAAGGTTTTATAGTGAAGAATCAATTATGTATATGAGCATAAATAAACCACTGAAAAACAAGCGCGGGAGCACAGCACCCAATGAAAGCATAAATCAACCACTGAAAAACACGCGCGGGAGCACAGCACCCTATGACAATTCTTGTCTCTCTACTCCTTATCTCTTTCCCTTCACAAATCAAAACCCTAGCAATTACAATTAGGGCTCCATTTTCCATTGCTTACCGTCATGATAAGAATGGAGTCCAGTTTTTCTTCATCTCAAATTCGGGCCTCTTTTCCGGCCAATAGAAGTTGCAGGAAGAAAGATTTTGGACGGAAATTCCCTGGATTTTTCAATGTGAAAGCAGCTTCCAAGCTTTCTAAGCAAAGGCGGCCTCAAAATATAGAGGGAGAGTTCTACGTAGGTTAGTTTATTCTCCTTCGAAGTTCTGATAAATCAAGTGTAAACCAGTGTATAGTTCTTAGATTTTCATCTGGTTCCATGGATGGTTTTTTTTGGAAGTTTCCGAGATTGCTTGTGTTGGGAAAGCTTTTGTAGATGTAGTTTTGGCAATGTTGGTGGGATAGGTGTGTTTCTCTTCTCGAAAGATCTATTGGATTGAGATAAAGGAGTGAGCAGTGCCTAGTTTTTATATTGGATTGTATGAATAGTTTCTGTATGGAGAAGTTGCAGAAGCTGGCTTCTGGGGGAGATTTATATAGTAGTATTATAAAGTTATAAGATGTTATTGAAAAAAAACCTGTGCTTCGGTGTTGGGGAGGAGGGGGTGGGTTTAATGGGTTGAAATTCTTCATAGATGCTGAGACATGCTAAATTCGAATACTATATCTTTAGTAATGCAATGAGGGATTTGTGAGTAATCGGGACTTTATCTCCAAATCTTAACAGTGTCCAATTTGACTACATTATAATTTTATTTAATTTCTTGGGAAAATATCTTGATTAATTGAAAGTTTTGTGGTAATTGTTATTGAAGTTCTCTTCAGAAAAATGATGAAAGGGAAAACGAAAGGAAGAAGTATCACTCTTATTATAACTGAAACACATTGAATGTTCTGTGTGTGATTTTGTTGCCATCAACCAAGAACTCAATCTAAAATACAGAAAAATCAAATGAGAACTCATAGAAAATGTACAAATGATTGAGAAAAATACCAAGAAAAAATTACTAAAGTTTGGGGTTTAAATTTTTCTTATCTTTTTCCCATGAAAAACTAGTGTTTCCTTCTTTTTTAGTTTTTCTTTTCTATAAACAGAAAAAGAAAAAGAGCATCCTGTAACTTTGTTGTGAATCAGTTAGTTTTTGTTAATTGGTTATCAATTTGGATAACACGATGAAATAGACCTTTTTATTGGAATTATCCTAATTGTATTTTGAAAAGTCACTATTTTTGTAATGGAAGTTTAATTGATATTTGCAGATGAGAGATGTATAGATTGTGATACCTGTCGCTGGATGGCCCCTGTAACTGTGAATCGTGTCTTCTTGTTAAGATTAATAAACAACCTGGTAGTTATAACTACATTGACAAATAACTCGATGATTCTTGTTATGTACTTTGCAGCAAGTTTTCAAACGAATTGACGAACAGGCGGCTGTGTATAAACAGCCACTCCATGGGGAAGAAAGACGTAAAGCTCTTCAGGTATCCTTTTGTTCATGGTTTTGTTTGTTTGTTCAAGGTTTGAAATTTTTATTTCAAAGAAGCCCAGTCTGATTTTAGAATCCTATTTGCCAGACTTTGGCCTCTGTAGAACTCCATCATTGGATATGAGTTTTTGAAGGCTTGGATCCAATGTCCACCAATAGTACGATTTGCATTCACCAAAAATTGTGGACTCCATTTCCCCCATTTCTTTTGTGTGTGTGTGTGTTTTAATTTTTTGGATTGCCTAGATGAGATCCACATATGTGCAAAATTTCACGTCCAATGAAGCCCTGCTTTTTGAAGTGGCTCGCACTAAATAATAAGCCCATTGTGAAGTAAAAATGTGAATTTTGGATCGAATTTCAGCCATTTCCCTGATCGAAACTTTGGAATCGAAGACTCAGTATAAAAAATACATCAGGAGTTATTAGTTACCTATTTGCAATTTTTGGGGAATCTAAAATTTGAGAGTTTGAGCTTTTCTTGTCAATAGGTGCACTGAATTTTAAAAAAAGAATACTGCATTTCGAAAAAAAAAGGTACTCTGAAATTTAATGACATGGGTTTTTGTAATATTTGTCCATTAGAATTATTTATTTCAGATTGATGCTCGTGCTTGTTTCTCTTGATATTTACATGAAAAATGTGGATCACTTCAATTAAAACATGTTCCCAACATCTGCACCATCCATCCAAATTGTACAGTCTGATTTTTGTTTCCACTGTTTGGAGGACTGGATGGGCAAATGAGATTCTCTTAAGCTTAACTAAAAATGACAAAATCATGATTTTTGTGACTTTTTGGTAGAGACCCCCCCACTATTTTTAATGTTGCAGGCCTTACTAAGCTGTCCAACAAGTTCCATTCATACTGAGAGTCCCCCATACGACATTCAAGAAGTACAGAGGACATTTCCTATTCCCATTGATGGAAAGAAACTCCCAGTAATTCCATTTCTTTGTTGGCTTTCACTCTTATCCTTATGACCATTGGGCTACAACATTACATGCTGTATTGCATTTTTTCTTTCCATCTTTCTATTGTGTATTTGATGTTGTAGTGTTTATTTATCATGTAAGAGATTTTAAATGTATTAATGGGAAACTATTAATTCTACCTTTGAAAATAAATAAAGAAATAAATAAAGAGCATCCAAAACTAGAACAACCATTCTTGATTTTGTTACTGTTTCGGGAAGCAGCCAATAGGAATCATGAGTGCCTTGATTCAAAGATTCTTCTTGTGGAATCTTGGTAGCTATCTAATTTATAAGCAGCACAAACTTCGCAGAATATATACAGATGAATCTTATCTATCTTCTTATTGACTCCCTCATAGGTAATGTGAAATTGATCCTTACGGGAAGTCCACTTTTAAGAATCAATATTAAAGCTAGACATCTATGCAGTCTTAAGTTACAAATAAACCCTGGACCCTGCTGCTATTGCTAGATGATAGTTCAATGTTCACATTGTCTAAAACAAGGTGCCTATACAAGAAGGCCAAAATGACACTAGAAGATTTCATAGCCACCGTTCATCATCCCGTATTTTTCACAATACTGATATAGCTTTTTAAACCAACACAATTGCATTGAAATTATCAAATCCAAGTCTTCCTTTTTATTATTTATTTATTTTTTACCTCATGGTTTTCAAAGGAATGATGGGTGTGGACACTACCTATTCCTTCCAGATTGGAAAAGGCCATCTTCAACTTATTGATTCCAGTTCGTCAATTTACTCCAAAGAATACAAGGAACTTCTTTTACATGAGTGTTACCATTATAAGATTGGCCATTGAACGGTTAGAGGTATAGTTTAGTCAAAACTAGTCTAACTTCATATTGAATCAGTTGGACCAGAATTTAAAAAAAAAGACTAATAGTTGAATAAATATGAAATGCATTTAAAAATGTTGTCAAACCTTGTTTAGCTAATGCCACTGGTCAAAACCAGATGTTCATACCAGCCAAAACTGATCAAACATTGTTTTTGGCTGGTTTTTGAAAAAAAATATTTTTTGATGTGGACCAAATTGGCCAAGGCACCGTTCAGTCGTCCAGGCCAGTCTTAATAACATTGATTTACATCCTTTGAACCAAAATCCATACGAACAGTCTTAATAACATTGATATACATCCTGTGACCCAAAATTCAAATTGCATTTAAAGAGGGAAGCAAAGAAAGTAACAACATAATCTAGGCTGGGTAAGTATCTTAGCCAAGTAGCAAGACAGGTCCAGATTCCAGAACAAGGTTGCAACCTTTGACATAAATTTCTGTTAATCAGAGCTCATAAGTTTGTCAAGTTTCTGTTAGTTACCATAAATGTTCTATTGCTACTAAAGGGCTTTGTTCTTTTCACATTATACAATCGTTGATTTGGAATTCTATCTTGTGACACTACCAAAGGAGTTGTGAAGATCGGAATGAATTACATCAAGCATGCTGCATGTTTTGAGTTGTTATCAAATGCTTGCAGGGTGTCTACTACTGTGGTTATCACTCAGAAAAATCTTTTGGAGCAACATCGTACTTGATTGTGCATCCAGAGGGGAATATAATGGTTGACAGGTAACTTTTAAGTTACTGAAAAATCCCAAGTTAACATAAGTGTTGGAAGAATTCATTGCTTTCTTTTCTTGATTAGTGTGGGATTCTCAATCTTGATGTGCAATCAATTAATCGGGAATCCAAAACACTAGACTATTTGGTAAAGCCCTGATGAATAAAAGAAAAATAAATAAATGGGAGAGAAACATGCATACAAGGAATTGCGTAAGCAGTTGAATATATCCATGTATGAGTGAAGAAATATAAATGTCATTAAGTACAAATTTCATTTGATTTGGCATTTGATTTGGCATTCTCTTAAGTTCACCTATGAGATGTCCTTGATGCAGCCCACGATACACAGAACATCTTGCAAAACGCATTGAGATGCTTGGTGGTGCACGATACATGTTCTTGACTCATAGGTATGGAGTTCTGGTCACATCCCTTCTGTAAAGCATGCTCTTTCCCAACAAAACTATTTTTAAATGGGAATTCATACTCTAGTTATCATCAGGAGGTCCTCACCATCCAATGAAATGATGTATAGTGATGGACTGAGAGAGGGAACCACTAGAACAAGACATGATGGGTTTCATCCTTCATCACATTCCATCATTTCATTGGACAGTGATTTCCCCAATTGTGTATTTTTTCCCTCGTAAACCAGAGTCCATTGGATGATAGTAATTTTTATTATCTTAATTTTACTTTTGGCATCTAGAGATGATGTAGCAGATCACGCCAAATGGTCGAGGCGGTTGCGGTGTGACAGAATTCTTCACTCACTGGAAGTGAGAGTCCATGACGTCTCTTATTCATTTTCTTTCCATTCTTTTGCGTTAATCAGAGACACTTCAACTTTGAAATCTCAGGCCTGCATTGCTTTAAACAAATTGGTGATTTTATTGTTGAGCTGATAAATGCAAAAAGCAGGTCCTCTTCCCCTAATCATGGTAAAAGGACTATTATCATTATAGCCTTTCCCAACTATTTGGGATCGGTTACACGAATCATGGTCTGCCATTCTGCTTTATCAAGGGTCATGCCCTCAGTGAGCCCATAAGTCTCAATATATTTTCTCATTATTTCCAATGATGGCGTTTCTCTCATCTTGTCGATTATTAGAGCCATACTTAAGTCTACTTTCTCTCATCTTATTGCTTATTAGAGCCACACGTAAGTTCTCCCAAATGTAAAAGGACCAAAATTAAAAAAAGATTGTAAAAATAGAATAATCAAATATAAGTATTTATGACACAAAGAAAGAAAACAAGATATGAAAAACAGTAAGGAGACTTGGGAAGTCATCTATTTTTTTGCCTAAGTTTGCCTATAGCACTTTCTCAAAAAAAAAAAAGTTTGCCTATAGCATTCTTTCCTCATAAGTTCAAAAACCAAAATAAAAGAGGAGATGTTGGAAATTGACAAAGGCTTAACAAGCAACACAAAGGATATATCAAAAAAGATAAAAAAGGGTGCGACATAAAGGGGGTATGGAGAGTGTTTATACAGGGATTATGATGATAATTCATCATATATCTCTAGTTCTGCCCATGTAGCATTCGACACTGGTTAGGTAAGATGTGAAAAGGATTGCCTTCTCATAGAACAAAGACATGATGTGTATCTCTATATTCACACATGAATGCATGTATAACATATATATGTTAATACATGAATTTGTTCATGTACATATGTGTATGATTAAAAACCAAACATTCTTGCCAAAGTTGCCCAAATAAGTAGGTAAGCTTTTGGCTAACCAATTTCTTGTATGTATTTCTTTATGTTTTGGTACATTGGCATATGGATCTGTCTGTTCAGGTGCAAATAGACACTGCAGATGTTGAGATGAAATTAGATGGTGATGGACCTTGGACCGTTGGTCCCGATTTTGAGATCATATGCACGCCAGGTCACACTGAGGTAAATTTTATGTATATGGATGCATGCCTGCAAGCACATATACACTTTTCTTTTTCTAAAGGTGCAATTATTTTGGATATTGATTCTCAGGGATCATCCTGCTTATTCTACAAGCCTATGAAGACCTTGTTCACGGGGGACCATATTGCTGCAAGGTCTGATAAAAGCTTTAGCATTTTTGAAATGTACAACTGTGATTCAGGTAATTCTAGGCTCATTTACTGCTTTTGTTGAACACAGTGGTTTGTCATTTATGTGCAGTTTACCAAGGTAGTGCTTCATTTTTGCAGTTATTACTCAGCTGGATAATGTCCAAAAGCTGTTGGAACTTGACTTTCTGTGGATACTACCAGGTGATCCTTATTTCATTTTAAAAAATGACCTTGTTCAAACAAAGGGTTTTGAGCTATGACAAAAGATTACATGTCATGTGGGAGCTATGCCAAATGATTATATACTTGCGCGGGAGCATGTCTTCCATTCACTCTCTCGGGTGAAATCCTCTATAGGATTTTTCTTAAATCCTCTATAGGATTTTTCTTAGGACCTCAAATTTTCGGATTGTAACACTTTCTTCCTAGCGACCAATCTAATATTATGTTATTAAGAGAGAGAGTGTGTGTGTGTGTTGTGTGACCGCGCATTGTACATGTGCCCAAAAAAACATCCTAAGATTGAAACAAAGATTGTCCAATTTGTGGATGGTCAGATATAAATGTTTAGGAACTCAAAATCCTTTTACTTTTTTGAAAATTCTCTTCTGGCAAATCTGAAGTGTATTCCAAAATTTCAGGTGGAATAAAGCCACCAAAGCGGCTCTTTCACCTGAGGGAGTAAGTGTGCTGCTCCCATTGGAGTATGCTACACAAACTCTTGAGCTATTACTAACTAGCAATGATGAATAATTTTGTAAATTACCCACATGCCCCCATGGTTCAAGATGGTAGTCCAATCGTAACAAAAGAAGATAAAAATCACATATAACTGAATGCGTATGTCCTTTCATTGATTGTTGTCTTCTATGGAATACCATTGGGCAAATTTGGTAAGATTCCGGAGTACCATAGACATTTCCGAAGATTCTTTTGCATCTTATTGAGCATCTACCTTAGAAATGTTTGGGGATTATTTGGTCATATTCAGGAATTCTTTCTCAAGTCAAAGGGTTGTTTTAAAAAACAGGGTCTAGATCGGGGAATCACCCTATTTGGACCAGGAATCACCTGGACCGATCCAGTTGTGAGAAGGAACTGGAACCAGTCAGTCTCCCCCCAAAATCCCCCCCTTTTATCTATTTATTTCATTTTTTTAGCTTTTCTAATTTTTTTTATATATGTTAATAAATTGTAACCCATAAACCCTTATTGTATTTTCCTTTATATTGTTAATATTTTTTTGATTGCCAGCCTAGTCCAATCAAGATTGGCGATCTGACATAGGATCGGTGAGTGGACAGTCCACCCCAATCCATTTTTAAAACACTTGGGGGATGGTAACAGTTGTGGAAAACTCTGGGGCTATATGATAAGGGTGCGGTTTGTATAGAGCCTAGGCTCTAAACAATCAAATTAGAGCCTACCTTCAAATGGTATCGAGAAATGTGGTTTCAATATTGGAAATCTTTGTGATGGTCTTAAAATATATTTTTATATTTATTTATAAAGTTTAGAACTTCAAAAATAGTGTAGACCGATAGATTTATGAAAACTTGAAAATATTGAAAATTGACGGTTCAAAAATGCGTTACAAAATATACTATTTCCAAAGCTTGAATCCCTTCTTCTTGATGTCATGATGTCAAGATGATCAATTTGAATATATTTGAGCATCAAAACAACCTCTTCTAATGAAAATTTTGAGGTAGGCTCAAATTTGATTGTTTAGAGCCACAACTCTCTATTAACTTTTCCCATGTGATAATGTATGATCATTCTTTCTCCATTTCCAGGGCATGGCAGGAGAGCCGAATTCAAGGACACCAACGAGAAGAATTCAGCCTTGATCCACTTTTTAGCTGATAAAGGGCATTTTTGATGCAAGAATTTTTGTACGGTAATCGTAACGATTGGACAGCATAGATTGCACTTGTGTATGGTATAAATCTGACATGAAATGCATACGATGTAGTTTAGTATATATATGATATGAATGTATATAATGTCGTTTGTGTATGGTATGGCTATGCGGACAAGTACATAATAAGATCATTTGCCTTTAGCATGGTGGACATAAAATTAGTTGGCCAAAACACTGGTTGCTGGGACAGATCGTGACCTCCTCGTACCATGGATATGTAGTCTTTTAGAATGCAAACCCTAGAAGTATTATTACATGGATTATGGACCAATGACAAAAGTGCCAAGAGTTATTTCAAAAGTTAGTGTAGTTTCATTAAGGGTGCGGTTTATATAAGGTGACAATCTTAAGCAATTAAGTCAAGGCACTATCAAATTTGTGCGAAGGTATTATTTGGGTATTGGAAATTTTTGTGTTGACTTGAAAATCTATTTTAACCTCTATTTAGGAAATTTAAAAGTCCAAAAGTGACAGATCTGGGCGGATTTATAGACTAATCTTGAAAATGAGCAATCTAAGCATTGTTTTCCAGATGCACTGTTTATAAAATTTGAAGGCATTTTCTTTATATTCATATATCTTAAGGTTGAGATGACCAACTGGAGGGATTTCCAACATCAAAGCAATATTTTCCAAGGGGTTTTTGAGGCGTGCTTTACTTCTACAGTATAAGATTGACACCTTACATGAACCTTCTTTCCATCCTTGGAAGTTGCCTTATTCTTTCACATATACAAAACTACAAATTATCAAGCACTAGCAATTGTGGGTCATTTTATTAGCAACTTATACGCAAAACTCTCTCTCTCTTGGAGGTCTCTAAAATGTCCCAAGTGTGATGTAGATATTAATTCGAGCCTCTTTGGCGCATAAAGAGTTTCGGAGTGGTGGCCCTGATTTTGCACGGGTGTTTACCCACTGTACATATAGCTGAATTTCAAATAGATAATTGTACATATAACTAATTTTAAATAAAAACGGATTTTTCTCAATACGTCATTTGTACTGTTGTAGCTTTCAGCTTTCACAAGTTAGTTTTAACTTAAAGGAAACGTCATTTGTACTGTTGTAGCTTTCAGCTTTCACAAGTTAGTTTTAACTTAAAGGAAACCACTTCACTGATGCTTTTTGCCCGTAAAAATTGGAACTTAATGGATTCCCAGTCATAGAACATGTGTACTCTTCGGATTTGCAAAATAATGTCTTTGAAATACTGCCAGAGGCTTGAGGGGGGCCCCAAGAATGCTTGGGGGAGAGCCGGACAAGGTCTCGTACATCTCTCTCACTCTCAGATGGTCCTCCACAATGAGCAGCTCCAACAGTTTCCTGCAATTCTGCAGAGGGAGAGGGAGAGAGAGAGAGAGAGGCTTCTTGTTAAACATTAAAAATAGTTTGATGCTATACATTTGAATTCAAAGACGAGCTAAAGAAACTTATTCAGATTATTTAGTGCTGAGCATGGTTTCCAGATGAGTTCAACTCGGACTCGGCCTCGCCCTACGGGCAAAGCGAGTTTGCCCTGAGTATACTGTACACATATTTTTAATTGTTATTTACAATAATCTGCCAGCTTTAACAACTAAAACTTAAGTAGCGTGCTGGGCATGCGTGAGTGTTATCCATTGTGGCGAGGGTTCGAATCCCTCTAGTGTATCATAGTTTTTTTATTTTATTTTTTTTAAGGGCAAACCGAGAGTGAAAAAAAAAAGTAGCCGAAGTTGAGAGAATGGGATTTGAACCCAAGTCCTCTTATAAAGTACTTTAAAAGCGGGCGCCCTACCCAACGCACCACTAAATATTTTGCATACAAATGTGCAAGACCAACATTATAAGTATTGAAATGCTCCTTATTGAGAATGGGGTTGGGATTGCACCCAAGCTAAAGTCTAAGCTTCCATTCTCACCCAACGCATTAAAAAACCACTAACAATTTCAAAAATGGGTAGGGGCTTGTTATCCTTACTGAATTACCCAAAAAAAAATACTACTTATTCTTTTAACAAAACAAAGCATAAGGTGAAACCAGGATTCGAACTCAAGACCTTTCACATCTAGCACTCCCTAAGAGAGCGTGAACTGACCTGTACACCATTTGATGCATAATGTAATATATGCGAAGGATACTTTATATATATTCTAATTAATGTGGTGATTTTTTTTTTTTTAAACTCGAACTCTACTCGGGCGAGTTACTTAAACACGCCTGAGTAGATCAGCTCGGCCAAGGGCTGAGTACCTTGGCCGAGTTGATTTTTTTAACACTGGTGCTGAGTGCTAACAAACATGAAAGCTGAAACTACCAAGGAAATGAGGAAAGAAAACCAATTGTTTGAAACTCTCTCTCTCTCTCTCTCTCTCTCTCTCTCTCTCTCCCCACCCCTCTTTCTCCAATGTCAATATTCCCAATTACAAGGTTCAAGCCAGTGTCTCGAAAGTTATGACCACATCCAAATGTAAAGTCTTTCCCTCTCTCTCTC